CAGATTCACTCTGCTAGGAACATGGTAGTTTCAATCTGGAGAACACTGCGGACACCTGTGTCATGTTTACTCTCTGGCGCTGGAGGGAACACCATGCTGACCAAATTTCCAGCCTCTGAGTTCATGGCTCCAGGAGAGAAACTCACCATCAGCTGCAGACCAGTGACTTTAGCTTCCAAACCGCAAAAACGAGGAGAGGCTCCTAAGTTTTTCCATTTACAAAGCGATTGACCAATGTTCTGGAACCCTCGGCTACTTCTGTAAAATTCAAGATTCTGTGGGTAAACAGCAACTCAAACACCCTTGTGATACTGGAGAAGACTTTTGTCAGATGTATAACTTGCTTTCACAACTTTGCATCTGTGAACATAAACCTAATTCACTCAAGCTTATCACCCAGGGAGGCCTTGCGGTTCTGGCTGCTTCCTCTTAGGCAAGGGGACTGCTTTGTTTCTCAAGAGCTGCTGAGCAGAAAAGTTTGCTGAGCTCATAGTAGAGGTGACTCACTCTCCTTGATAAAATAATCATCTACCCCCTTTAAGAGTAACTACTGTGTAAGATAGTGGGCATGCGGGTTCCTTCCTTCCTTATTTCTTTCATTCTTCTGTGTATGTTTTTCCTTTGTACATCTGTTTTGATAACATTATTTTGGATGTTTAGAGCCTCTCAGAACAACTGGAAATGTGATACTTTATAATCTATGTATCCAATTTCATGTACCATTTTGCTAAGTTTGTAATTAGAAATCGTACCTTACATGCATCAATTAATTTTTTATGTGAATTTTTGAACCAGTTAATTTGTATTAAACCAAAAGCATGTTTTACACTTATTAAACATACAGACTATATTTTTAAATTAAGAATGTTATACGTTGTAAATTTGCACAGGAACTTCCAAGTCATAGCAGATAAGCATGGGAGTCGAGGACTCCGTTTTTTCCTATAGGACTAAAATAAGAAAAAAATCACTGTGCTTTGAATGCCTGCCATTAACAGAAGGAAATGACAGGATGAAGGAAGCAATTAAAGGTCATCATAAGACTTTAAAATAAGAGATCTTATTTCGAAGACGCAAAATCTATACTAATGATATGAACAGTAAAAGAGAGATGGAGTTGGGATTTTCCCAGGAAAACAAATGACCTCACAGAATTTCCAAGTAGGTTGGTTTTAGTCCAGGGCGTTAAAGGGTTACTTACTGGGAAGTCTGAGGACCAAAGGTCAAGGAAGCCACTTCCAGAGTTCCTCATTCAAGAAATTTCTGAATCGTGGAAAATCTGCTACAAATAATTTTGGTAGCAGCTCAAAGAAGACGAGTCACCAGAGATCTCAGAAGCCATGATAAACCTCAAGAATTACGAGAAGCTCATCTGTGGTCTGCACATACTTTGGACCATAACACCAGTAGAGAGTAAGGGTTTCCTGTACCATTCCAAATTTTAGATCTTATACAAGCACCTTTTATTAACCAAACAAAATCTGGAGAAAAGGAGAAAGGGATTCTGGGAAGTGGTGTCCATGAGAATGCACAAGGGCAAAGCAGTGATGCTAAGCAGACAAATAAACAACTGGTCCACTTCTTTATACTCCAACATTCAAAACACTTGTTTACCCATATTTATGTTTCCAATTAAAGTCCAACGGCATCATGCATCTACCTCATATGATACAATGATCCCAGGAAAACTCACGACGTTCTCCTTCTTCCCCAGAGCGGGATGCTTATTTGTTTTCCAGTTTAGCCACAATCACTTTTACATTAAGTAATTTGAAGAATGAATTTACTACAAATACACCTTATTTAAAAAGTAAGGGAAGGGAAGGGGATATAGCCCCAAGTGGCTAGCTAGTATCCCCAGGTCCTGAAGCCGTTGTGGGAGCTCAGGAACAGTATTGATCTCTTCCTTTGTCTTGCTAGGCAATTACCTAGAGGCAAAAATCCATTTAATTCTTGGTAAGGTGAGTTCCATGTTGTTGAGCCCGTGCATGGCCTCCATCCCTGCCACCACGGCCACTTTATGTCTGAACTCAATGAACAAACACTGGGGTGTATGCATGAGAAGCTAACTGACATCCACAGAGTTGGTCATCTCATCTGCCCAATGATTGAGAGCTCCCTGTACAGGGTGTGTGTTAAAGTGAACATTTGCATAGGATACAAATACTCTTACAGTAAATGCTCAGTCCAGAGGGCCGTTCATAAAACTCTGCTTTTGAGCTTCTCATCACCAACCTCTCAGGCTTGTTTTATCTAATCTTCTGACCATGGGACCACACCTTTAATCACTGCCTCTCTGATCCAGTTTATCTCTAAGAGAGGTGAAGTGGATTGGAGAAGCCAACTCTGAGTTCTGCCCAGTAGATAAATTTCTTCCTACATGCTCATTCCCAACTATCCTTAAAGTAGTCTGTAAGGCTATAAAACTCTACTTTTGATCTGAATTTATGCATATCTTGCATAAAACTGGATTGCATAAAAATCCATTATATATTGGATCTGAATTATTGTTATTTTTTATGGCCAACTGTCTAAAGAGCATCCACATAAGGGTTAGGATGATGGAAAGGAAACAATTCAGCAAGTGTAGGTCTCATGAGAGCTTGAATAACTCACCTGTGTGCCTGGGGGACTATATCAAGGCCTAGCCTGTATATCCCACTTCTACAGGTGGATAGGATACTGGGTGCAGACCTTATGGCTTGTTGGATAAGTCACCACTCAATTCATAAAGGCAGCTCAGGTCACATGGCTATTTCAGGATCTATATACAGTGTGTAGTCTCTACCAGGGCTGAACAGCAAGCTAGGAGCCTATCTCAACAAGGGAATTGTTACCTGTGAAGAGATTGGACCACTATTCTAATAACCTAGAGGTCCATTCTGGGCTTCTCCTGTTGGGGCTTTCTGAAGCCTCCAAGTGCTCTGCCTATCTGTCACAGGCACTTTAAGTGTCACTGCACTTCTGGGTCATAAAGTCCTCTGCCAGTGGTCCTTACTGTAGAGCGCTCTTCTCTCCTGGGTCTCAGTCAAAACATCAACCTTACAGGTTACTAAATAAAGGAGTATATATTGGCTTCAAACCTAACTCTTTCCTAGTTACTGAAAATATGTGGGGGTTTTTAAGTCCTTTTTTTTTTTAATTTTTTTTTATGTTTTATTTATTTCTAGGAGAGAGAGAGAGACAGCATGAGCAGGGGAGGGTCAGAGAGAGAGGGAGTCACAGACTGAAACAGGCTCCAGGCTCTGAGCTGGCAGTCAGCACAGGGCCCGACGTGGGGCTCGAACCCACAAACCGCGAGATCATGACCTAAGCGAAAGTCGGACGCTTAACCGACTAAGCCACCCAGGCGCCCCTTAAGTCTATTTTTTTTAAAGTAATCTCTACATCCAACATAAGGCTCAAACTCACAACCCCGAGATCAAGTCACATGCTCTTCCAACTGAGCCAATCAGGTGCCCCTGAAAATGTGCTTTCATGTTGGAGGCAAATTTTTTGACATTCCCCAGACCACTCATCTTCTAGAAACTTCTCTGCAACCAGGACCATGCAGGCAGTTTGGTGGGATTTGCCTTGCACTTTGGTGGTATTCAAACCACCAAATACATGGTTTCAAGCTGACTCTGGATTTTTAATTGTGCAAGCCCTGATAATGATTTCTTATAATTGAAAAAAAATTAGCCAATAATTTTTAAAAATGTTTCTTATACTTCCTTTGTCACCTTCTCTTCTTAAGACTTGAATTGTTCATGTAACAGACTGCTTGAAGTTGTCACACAGTTCACTGATGCTGTCTCTGTTCATGTTTTTTCAAATATTTTTTTCATAATAGTTCAGTTTAGACAATTTCTAGTGCTAAGGCTTTTCATCATTTTTACTGAAATATCAAATCTTGTGACTTGCATCTGTCTGATAGACTTGGGTATTGCTTTTAAGCTTTGTCAGGCAGGACCAGAATAGCATTCTGTCCAGGGGTAATTTGCCTCACTACCAAGGCAGTACCTCCTGAGTACTCAGCCAGATGCCCTGTGAATCATGAGGTTTTCTACTCCTAATGGTGCACACAATAACTCTTTCTGGCCCTGTGTGAGCTCTGACAAATTTCCCCTAAAATTTTTTTAATGTTTATTTATTGTTCAGAAAGAGAGAGAGAATGCAAGTGGCAGAGGATAGTGGGGGAGGGGGAGGGGGAATTCTAAGCAGGCTCCTCACTGTCAGGGCAGAACCTGATGCAGGGCTCCAACCCACGAGCCAAGAGATTATGACCTGAGCCAAAATCAAGAGTTGGATGCTTAACCGACTGAGCCACCCAGGCGCTACCTACCCCACCCCCCCATCCTCGTAATCTTTCATGCAGTTTTTTCTCCAGCCTCAGTAGGTTCTTGACATGCATGTGTTTATCAGTACACTCTTGAATATGGAGAGGAACAATCTGTGGACATCCTAGGTTCTCTCTCTATGTGGATAATTCATCACACCAAGGGCATCAGGAAATCAGAGCAAAGAAGAAGACTCTCTGTCCTGAAAAATGTGTGAGCATCAAATGCAAGGACCTCATAAAATTTCTTTGGATTTCTGGGCTTTTGTCCCACTCAACAGACTAAGTCTCAGATGGAGAGGTAACATGAAAAGCAGGTCACAGAACTTGAAGACAGCAAAGTAAATACTCTGCTCATAGGATAGTAAACTGATTCTGTCCTGTGGCCCTCAGAGAGAGACATGTTCTCTGCAGACAAATGTGCTTGGGTTGGGACTCTTAAGAGACACTGCACTGGAGTGCTGTTATTGTAAAAAGCCAGTCCTGCAGCTAAGCCCAGCCCTGACAGAAGCAAAGAGGATTGTATCAATATTTGTTTCATGATAATTTCTCAGAATTCTATTAATTTTTGATTTCTAGAATAAATACATTCATGTAGGTGACAACTTCTGGCTGCCCCACCTGGTGGTAGTTTTCTCACACTTAGGCAGCTTTTTATTTGTGTGGCCCAGTGGGATAGAGAGCTCAGAATGGGGATGAGGACACGTGGCTTAGCTGGAGATGACACGTTAGCGATGGCAGATACTCAACAGCTGGGCAACTTACATATCATAACACCCACACTTCTTTATTATTCTACTACCCCATTCCATCGCTGGATGGTAGTGATGGTAATTTCTCATGCCAAGAATATCGGGACAGTAGAGCAAAGAAGAATCTCTGTGGCCTAAATAACATCCACAGGCACCAAATAAAAGGGGCCTGTACAGGTTCTTAGAGTGTCTGGGATTGTGTAATAGCTGACTGATGCTGTCTTAGAGAGACAGTAAGAAAAATGTGTCATGAATCTTAAAGAGACGCAAAGAACTCTCTACTCACAGGACAGCAGGCGGATTCTGCTCTTTGGCCTCCAGGAAGAAACACCTGCTCCAGGAGGCAAATTTATGCTGCTCTGGTCGAACTTGGGTCCAGGGGGTTTTATTGCATCTGTACCGTTTTTGAGATAACCCAACTCTGCAGCTGTCCCAGTTATGCTCCATCCTCTGCTGATTTGCATGTTCCCCAGGCACAGCCCACTTCCCTGAACACTGATTGATAGGCTGGTCACACCCTGTGCGGGACTCAGGCCCAGTCAGGACACAGAATGGACATGAAGGCTCCCGCTCAGCTCCTTGGCCTCCTGTTGCTCTGGCTCCCAGGTAAGGAAGAGGAACACCGGGAATGTACTCAGCCGATGTGCTCAGTACTGCTGGGCCCTCCAGCAATGTCCTCTTAACACATGATTCACAGTGTGGCTATGTGTGTCTCTGTGTCCAATCTCAGGAGCCAGCTGTGATATCCAGATGACCCAGTCTCTATCCTCGCTGTCTGCATCTCCCGGAGACACAGTCACCATCACTTGCAAGGCGAGTCAGAACGTGAACACGTGGGTGGACTGGTATCAGCAGAAACCAGGGAAAGTTCCTAAGCTTCTGATCTATCATGCATCCACATTGCAAACTGGGGTCCCCTCATGGTTCAGGGGCAATGGGTCTGGGACAGATTTCACCCTCACCATCAGCAGCCTGGAGCCTGACGACGCTGCAACTTACCACTGCCAGCACTATAATAACTACCCACACACAGTGTTACAGACCAGCACATAAACCACCAGGGAAGCGGTTGGGCTCCTCCTGCTGGCCCTCTTGTGCCTGCATCTGTTCAGAAAGTGTCAGATGCAGCCCTGCTCTGGAGGTCACTGGGAGGTGTGGGAGGAGGGAAGGGAGGCTCCTCTGCCCCCTGACTCCCCTTCCCCCTCTTCAGTCCAGCAGCACAGACATGACAATGCCCCTTCTGATGTAATCAAGATGGAGATGTGGGTGATGGCATCCATCAGGGTTCGTATGGCAAAAGAGAAGCCACTCTAGATATTCCAAGAAGGAATTTTTAAAGGTGACTTTAAGTTTCAAAGAAGTTCTGTGTTCACAACAAAATTTAGCAGAAAATAAAGAGATTTCCCAAATGTCCCCTGCTCACGCCCAGGCACAGCCTCCCCTATTGTCAACAGCCCCCACCAGAGGGTACATTTGTTACACTCAATGAGCCTATGTGGACACATCATTATCACCCGAAGTCCATAGTTTATACTGGCATTTACATTTGGGGTTGTACATTCTGTGGATTTGGACAAATTTATAATAACATGTATCCACCATTTTTGCATCATACAGAATAGTTTCATTGCCCCCCAAATTCCTCTGTGCCCCAACTATTATCCCTCCATCCCCACCATAGCCCCTGGTAACCACAGATCTTTTTATTGCCTTCACAGTTTCGCCGTATCCAGAATATCTTATAGATGGAGTCATATAGCACGTAATTTTTTCAGAAGGGCTTCTTTCATTTAATAATATGTATTTAAGATTCCTCCATATCTTTTCATGGCTTATGAGCTTATTTCTTTTTAGTTTTGAATATTATTCTATTGTCTTGATGTGCCACAGTTTACTTATTCATTCACTTCCTGAAAGGCATCTGTTTTGTTCCCCCCAAGCTTTGGCGATTATGAATAAGGTGAGTATAAACATCTGTGTGTAGGCTTTGTATGGACATCATTTTCCACTCTTTTGAGTAAATATTAAGAAGCACAGCTACTGGATGATGTGATAGGAGGAGGTTTTGTTTTGTAAGAATCTTCCATAGTGTCTTCCAAAGTGGCTGTGCTGTTGTGCATTCCCATCACAGTGAATGAGGGTTCCTGCTGCTCCACATCCGTGTCAGCACTGGATATTGTCAGGGTTCCTGATTTTGGCCATTGTAAGAGGTATGTAGTGGCATCTCGTTGTTGTCTGAATTCGTATTTCTCTGAAGACATAATAAATATGAAGTACCTTCTCAGATGCTTATATGTCATCTCTATACCTTGTTTGGGAAGGTACCCATGAAGGCCTTTGCCCCATGTCTTAATCACATTGTTTGTTCTTTTATTGTTGAATTTAAAAAGCTCTTTGTATATTTCGGTAACAGCTCTTTATCAGATAGGTCCTTTGCAAAATTTTCTCTTGCTGTTTCTTGTCAGGAATTGTTTTATTACAGGGTATTAGAGTTTGACTATATATATATATATATATATATATATATATATATATATTTTTTTTTTTTTTAACGAACTGGGGTATGGTAGGCAGAAGAGCAAATATGAGAATCGAGAGAGTGTGTGGTGCTTCCTCCGAGAAGCCAGAGCACATCACTGCTGAAGGCTGAAGGTATAGGCTGCCTAACCATGTGTGTGGTCCTCACACCTGTCTGGGAAGCCCCAGGGTGGGGGGTGCTGATGCTCTAGTGGCCTCCCCCCCCCAACCCAGGTGATTCTCCAGCCCTCACCTTGTGGACCCTGTGCTGATGGATAGCATCAAATCCGTCTCTTCTGAACTCCATATCTCAGTGACGATGCTTCATTGAGCACCTCTAAATGGAGCTATAGAGAAAAAAAGGGGGAGATGTGTTTCCAGAAGTGATGGCAACAGTGGGGGGCTGACAGCAGTCAGCCCAGGATGGTCACTAATTCCCAGCTGTCAGAGCTCTTCTGGCTAGAAGATGGATCCAGAATACACCTGAATGTTCTCCTAAGTATTAGCAGTAAATCTGGGATCATAGCATGAAACTTTATTGAGTTATATGGTAAACAGAAAATGAGGAAATTACATTAAATATATAGCAATCTTTTGACAAAGAAGTGAAAAACATTTTTGACACACACAAAAACACTAAACATTCATGTAGCAATCTTTTTCATTATTCTAGAAATAACTTGCTCTTCAACATTTCCCCAGAATCCTGCATCATCATCTGCATCACTGAGAACTTCTTATAAATACAAAATTGCAGGTCACCTGAGACCTTGAAATGGAAATCTGCATTTTAACAAGTTACCAGGTGATCTATAGAAGGTTTAAGAAGCTGTTTTAGAGACTGTTTACTTCAGCTAAAGAGATTTTTCCAATGAAGCCACTGAAGACAATTATATTTACAGCTGTATGTTGAGACCACACTCAGCTCTGTTTTCCAATTAACAGAAAACTAGATTTGAAAACATTTTTAAGATAGTATAGTCTGAAAAACATATTTATCTGTCAATGGCATGATCAAATACTTTGCTTTTCCTTCATTTTATTTTATTTTATTTTATTTCCAGTATAGTTAGCATAAGGTGATTCAACAATTCTATCCATCACCCAGTGCTTATCACAAGTGCCCTCTTTAATCCCCATCACCTATTTCACCCGTTCCCCCTACCCACCTTCCCTCTGGTAACCATCGATTTGTTCTCTATAGTTAAGGGTCTGTTTCTTGGCTTCTCTCTCTTTTTCTTTTTTTTCTTTACTCATTTGTTTTGTATCTTAAATTCCATATATTAGTGAGGTGATATGGTATTTTTATTCCTCTGACTCACTTCTTTCACTTAGCGTTAAACTCTCTATCTTCATCCATGTCATTGCAAATGGCAAGATTTCATTCTTCTTTATGGCTTAGTACTATTCCTTTGTGCATATATATACCATATCTTCCTTATCCATTCATCAGCTGAAGGACCCTGGGCTGCTTCCATAAGTTGGCTATTGTAAATAATGCTGCTGTAAACATAGGAGTACATGTATCTTTTTGAATTACCCAGTAGTGTTATTATTAGATAGTAGGGTTCTACTTTTGACTGTTTTTGAGGAATACTTTGAAAATTTAATGGATTAAGGTTTTTTAGAAACTTGAGCAATTAGAAAGACAAAAGAATATAAATTTTGTGCACCAGGATTGGAGATAATTGGACTTCAATTCTTTTATGCAGCTTGGTTTGGAGATTTAGTTCACTCCTGAAGCTTGCCATTAGAATGTTTTATCCAGAGTAGTCACTACCTTTCCATCCGGGTCCCAGATGAAGCACTCTCCATAGGATAGAAGGCATCTCAGTGGCCTGTAGTAGAACCACCCAGCTGAGGGGCTCCTGGGTTGCCCAGTCAGTTGAGCGTCCAGCTTTGGCTCAGGTCATGATCTCACGGTTCGTGGGTTCGAGCCCCGTGTCGGGCTCTGTGCTGACAGCTCAGAGCCATGGAGCCTGTCTTCGGATTCCGTGTCTCCCTCTCTCTCTGACCCTCCCCTGCTCACGCTGTCTCTTTCTCTCTCAAAAATAAATAAAACATTTAAAAATATATCAAAAAAAAAAAAAAGAACCACCCAGCTGAGCCCTGCCTGGGTCATCTACACCATTGTTAATACAAACATACGTGAATATGAGAATTAATGCTTCGTATTATGTGTTGCTGGATTGTGATTGGTTTGTTACCAGTCATTATCATGCAAAAGCTGACAAATACAATAGTTACACATCTGCACTTGAATGTAGATCCATTTTTTAAAAAATTAATGCTTTCAATATGAGTATTTAGCAATCCATTCATAATGATATTAGGAAGATATTAAAACAAAATAATATTTGAATAAAAGTTATCTTATTTTTGGAAAATATGTATATATGTACATATACATATATAGGTGGATATATATATTTGTTATATTGTAGGTGGTGCGTACTTAAATATACACATATTTATGTTATGTGCAACATAACACATATATATACATTATACATGTATATATGGTGATATAACTATAAATATATGTTTTTAAAATATACAAATATATATGTTTGGTCATATTGATAAGTTATAAATATATTTGATAAAATTTAGCAATTCATTACTAATTTATATTTTTTTATTAAAAATTTTTTAAATGTTTTATTTATTTTTGAAAGACAAAGAAAGAGCACAAGCAGGGGAGGGGCAGAGAGAGGGAGACATGATCCGAAGCAGATTCCAGGCTCTGAGTTGTCAGCACAGATCCTGACGTGAGGCTTGAACCCACAAACCAGGAGATCATGACCTGCGCTGAAGTTGGACACTTAACCAACTGAGCCACCCAGGCACTCCTCATTACTAATTTTTAATTAAGAAATGTCTTGGTAAACTAGGAATAAAAAGAATCAAAATAGAGGGCCATCATATAACTTTTCAAACAAACTGGTTTATTTGTGAGAGCAAAAAGTGGGTGCTATTAAATATTAAAGATCACATTAGGCCTGCATCAGACAAAAGAGAAGTTATAGGTGCTCTAAGGCATGATAATCTGATGAACCAAAACTGATGAGAATGAGAAACAGTAAAAATAGGAAAAAAATTTTTAACCAAGAGACATTAACCCCCAAAATAAAGAATAAAACGGACTATGGAAATAGAATCTAATAGTGTATGCGCTTTCTCAACTGCATAGTGCCTGAAGAGGCATTGCGTGGATTTGATCCAAGGACATACACTCTGTTGTCCACGCCTCACCAATATTTGGTCTATAAGTGACATATCAAGATGGAACTGATATTTCACACTCATCCCTAGAAAATGAGAGCCATGAGGACAAATAGGGACCAGAAAAATCCGAGATGCTTTCTTCTTACAAACACGGAGGAGAAGCTCCTCGGGGACTGGACGTTAACCCTGTGTCCAATGAGAAGCCCCAGGAGACATCACCCCCTAGAAGTACCTCCTGGTTCGGCAGCTGTGGCCAGACCCACCCAACCCCTCACTGATTTGCATGTTTTCCCCAGAGAAACCATATTTCTGCTTTTCAGAAGCCCCGTAAATAGGCTGCTCAGTGATCCAGGGCAAAAAAGAGCCTCAGGCAGGCCTTGCATTGAACATGGGTGTCCTGACCCATCTCCTCTGCCTCCTGCTGTCCTG